TCCCTCATCGTCCTTTTAGCCGTCAGCGCGCTTGTAGCAAGTGTGGGTAGAGCCCTTCCCATATCTTCATTTGCAAAGCCCAGCCATGATGATGATGATGTAGCTGTGCTGCTGGTGTGTGTCAGTCCATGCATGCTGGGGGGGGTTCTGTCTTTCAGGTTCTGTCTTGTGCAAGGCGAGAGGTCCCCTCCTGCCCTCGCTGCGGGCAGCAGTGTGACTCCAGCCCTGGCACGACTGTGGCAGTTCCCCTTCCTGGCACCACTTGCCACAGCACCACGGTGGCTCTCATTTTGCTGCGCAGCGTCATGTGGCAAGCACAAGAAGACCTGAGCTCACCCAACACCTCCACCTTCGGCAGCCACGCGAGCAGCTGCAAGGCTGCTGCCAACAGCCTGGAGGAGGTGAGCCGGGCAGGGGCCGTGGGGGTGCACCCCCAGAGGCTGGGGGGGGCCACTCCCCTCGTGGTCCTGGAGGACGCCCGTTCACGTATCACCATATCGTTTGTCACCATGAGTGGAGAGTGGCACAAATGTCTTTGGGTGTTTGCAAAACACTCAAAGAAAAGATTTGGCAAAGGCTGGTGTCAGTCAGTGGGGACAAGAGCACAGGGGAGGAGTTTTGTCTGGGAAGGTTGTACCTCATGCCAGGCTCGCACCACACAGTAAAGAGAGGACAGAACCCTTTGACCAGACAAGCATCAAACTAAAAGCAAACAAAAAAGTTAAAGGCAGCTTTGGGGAGCAGCAGGATGGTTTCCTCACTTCGGACCTGTGCGGTAGCTCAGCTGACACCTCTGTGTGCTTTCACTGGGAGGAAGTCTCCAGTGCTGGAGAATGCCAAGTGAGAGCCAGAGGCTGGCACCTAAAGCTAAAACTGAAATGAAAAATGAAATTAGTTGCAATATTTTAGCTCATAGAATCACAGAATGATTTAGGTTTCAAAAGACCTTTAAGATCAGCAAGTCAAACCATTACCCCAGCACTGCTAAGTCCACCACAAAACAGAGTCCCTGAGCACCACATCTACACATCTTCTAAGTGCCTCCAGGGATGGTGACTTCACCACTTTCCCAGGCAGCCTGTTCCAACGCTTGACAACCCTTTTGGTGAAGAATTTTTTTCTAATATCCAATCTAAACCTGCCCTGGTGCAACTTGAGGCCGTTTGCTATTTTCCTTAATGAACTGCTGGTGTGCATGGCCAAAAGGTGAAGCAAGTGCTTGATCTCCATCCTCTTTACAGGCAACTTGGCTGTCTTTCTGGAGATCACCGAATCCCACACAAGACAAAGGCTTATGCAAGGATGCCTTTTGTTGATGCCATGTCTATGCCGATGATGTGAACTGATGGTCCCTCTCAATCGGAGTCTTTCTGCACTCTTGAAAACTAGTGAGAAGGGAGGAGTGTGCTGTGACCCCCAGCACCCGAGAAATCATGGACAGGAGTGAAAACAGATCTGGAAGAGCTGGAGCCACAGGGTCCCTCTGTTCCTTGGTCTCAGCTCTGAAAGGCAGAAGTACTGGTGCTGGTGACTTCTGCAGTGGTTCAGCTGGCAGATTTTATTGATGGCGTAGGGACCTTTGAAGAGCAAAGGGTCTTAGTGCATGCAAACAGGCATCAGCAGGCGTGTGCTTGTAATGGAGAGCAGCAACAGTGTGGGATAAAGCTGGAAACCCGGGAAAGGCCAACCTTGATCAAGGCGAGTCCTGGCAGGGGTGTGGGCGGCGGGCAGGAGTGCGGGCAGGAGGACATCAGCCAGTTTTCCAGCACTGGAGGCAGATCCCCAAAGGGGAAGTCACACAGCTCAGCCAAGTGCAGAACCAGATGTGTGCCTGCAAAGCAAACAGGGGCAGGAAAAAGTACAGGCAGGGAAGGGAGCTTGGGGCTTCCTGCGCCAAGCACCAGGTTTGAGCGCGGTGCTGACAACAATGACGACACCGAGGTCGTGGGTTCGATTCCTGCTCGGTCCCCATGTGTTGCCTGGTCTAGTCGAGAGGTGGCGTCCCTGCCTGTGACAGGGAGGTTGGACTAGATGATCTCTAAGGTCCCTTCCAGCCTAGGCCAGTCTAGGATTCTATGTAATGTCCTGCCCTGTGGCCAGTGGCTGTACTTGCATAAACATGGTGGTCCTTGGAGGGAGTGCTGCCTCCTGCAGCTGGGCTCGTGGAACGGGGGGAGCCCAGAGAGGTGGATGTGCCTGTTGGTGATGGCCTCCAGAACACCATGGAGCAGTCTCACCCTGGTGCTGCTCCTCGGAAGCAGGGAAGCCTCCTGACCTGAGAGCATCAGCCCAGCAGGTGAGGAATGGTCCCAGCAGGTAGGTGGGATGGATCACTTAGAGGGGGGATGTGCTAAGGCCTGGAAGTCCTGGCTTAACCTAAAGTCATTTTCTGAGCAAGGGAGGAATGGGGGCTGGAAGTGAGGGTATGAAGGGAAGTTTAGCTTTGCTAAAGAACAATGGCCAGACACTTCAAGGACCTATCCCACCACTGCCTTTCTGACCTTGGCTCGTGGGAATCTCTCTGAAGCATAAAACTACATTCCCTGGATTTGCAATGCTTGGTGCGAGCATAGTCCTGCTGGTCCTAGAGGTTTTATGTTAATTGCCCCAGAAATCTCTATTTGAAGGTCTTGGCTGGAAAACCTCAGTCCCAAACTGAGCTGGGCAAGAAGGTGCAGGTGCTAAAAGCCACTGGTGGCAGCTCTGCCCTGGGGAGCAGCAAGTCTGGCAACTCCTATTTTGGGGTAGAAGTCCAGAATTCAAGTTCTCAACACTTCTGCTGCACTGAAGTCAGGGCAGAACTGAGCCTCAGGAGTGGGGACATGAAGATGGATGGATGAGGAGAGTCCTTGGTGCAGGGTGGGTTGACTGCAGCATGGAATGTGGGTGTCAGGGGTCCCTACAGCTGGGGAGGAGGGAGGGGCAGCAGGAGGCAACAAGAGCTGGCTGGAATGTGTGAGTGGAACTGGGCACGGTGACTGCCAGGAGGAAGGCAGGGGCTGCGTGTTCATCCTGACCCCTGAAGGGGCAATTGCTGGAGACCATCCATGTTTCCCTAGACCTCATCAGTAACCTTGACGACCACATCACTGCCCAGGAGAAGTTTTCAGCCAGCTACTGGCTAGAGGGTGAGAAGCAGCTGGGCAGCACCTTTAGCACCTTCTCTGCCCTCTGAGAGCTGCTGACTGTCAGGAGCCTGGTAGATAGCTCAGCACCTGCATGTACATCAGAGCGGGGCTCCCGGCTTGCAAGGGGATGCTGGCAAGGGTCCCAGGAAAAGCAGCAAGCTCTGGGCCACAGCCTGGAGGTCCGAGCTCACCCCCTTTTCCACACAGACAGACAGAGGCAGGAGGTCAGGGCATGCAGCCACAGAGCCCGTGGCACAGCCTGCGTGGCTGGGGGCCCCTGCACAGACCTCTGAGGCTGCGTGGAAGAGGCCTCTGGAGGTCTCCTGTCCACCATCCTGCTCGAAGCTGGGCTCTCACCAACACTGGGTGAGGCTGCCTGTGGCTTTTTCCAAGGACGGAGCCTTTCAGCTTTCCCCGGAGTGGTTCCTCTGCAGGCTTACAGACAGCTCTGCTCTCTCCACAGGACGAGCAGTGCTCCTGGCTTGCTTTCTCTCCTTCCTTTCCAGTGGCAGAGTTTGTACTGCGACATGAATTTTCCCTGGGGTCATTACTAAAGCCTGACATGGAAGAGCTGGAGCAGGGGCTGAGAGGGCTGTGCCGAGGTGGGGCTGGTGGGGGAATGGCTGGAGGCACAGTGAGGACCGGCTGTGGGGTCTCATCCCCGGATCACGTCTCTGCCTCCAGCTGCTGGGAGGGCAGGACTGCCCCTCCTGCATGCCAGGTCCTGCTCCCTGCTGAGCCTGGCACCTCACACCACAGGTCAAGTTGCACCAGTGATGCCCCATAGCTGGGACCTCGGCTGTACGCAGGTGGCCGGCTGAATCCAGCGGAGTCGGGTGACTTTTGTTACAAGAGGACGGATGTTGGCCAGGCAGAGCAGCTGGGGAGGAGCAGGGACAGCGCTGCTGCTCCCTGAAACAGATTCTCACTGTTGGTCACTGTTGTCTTCCACCAGACCTGCTGGTATCCTGGCAACCTCCTTGTGTTGTGTTTTCTTCTTTCAGAATTTTACATTTTTCTGTGATACTACTTTCCCTCTTGAATCCCTGAACTAGTAATGGATGTGCTACAACAACTCTGTAATTGTCCCTTTTTAATCTTTTGTTGTTCCACCTTATAGATGTTCTCTCAGCTCTGCAGTTTCCTCAGATGCTTGATGACGGTTTTGCAGCTGGGCTGTATCAGAACTAGGCTGGGAATCCTTGAGCAAACAGCTGAACCCCTGGGAAAGTGAATATTCTGGACTGGATTGCAGGCAGAGGGATAGGAACCACGGCAGGGCTTGGAGGCTTCCAGAGAAATAACTGCAAATACTGACACAAATGATGAGCATTTAGGCATTTGTTTGGAAGCTTGTGCTATTTGAGAGCTTGAAAGTGGAAAGAGATAGCAAATTCTGGAACTTCTGGTATGAAGTAAGTTGATAAAAGAATATAAAACACAAAGGATAAAAAAAGCCTCCACTATTTACATTGTTAAGGATAATGTCAAGAAGATTAGAAACTAAGAAAACAGCCAACTAGAGAAGAAAAAACCCAGCTGCCTGCAAGGATTCATGATTAAGCTGAAGGCATTTCTAATGAGATCCAACAGGAATCAGAGGTTGACCTGAATCGGTTTGACATTTTCCTTAGACTGGAGATAAATACAAGATCTGTGCCGACAAGGTTCTGCCTTCATGTAAATAAAGTAATTTCACCTCAGGGGACAGAGAGGCATCGGGACAGGGACTCAGAGAGGCCGTGGGGTCTCCATCCTTGCTGTTTTTTAACATCTGCCTGCACAGAGCCTGGCCTGAATTCAGTGCTCTCCCTGCCTTGAGCAGGTTAGAGACCTCGTGAAATCCCCTCCAACCTGATTTACTCTGCCTTTCCTTGATACGGAGGTTTGGAGAGCAGTAAGCGGTGAGAACAGGGCAGAACATGGGGGACCTAAGTAAATGCATTTAATGGACAAATGCGGAAGAACATACCGAGACGGTAACCACTGGACAGGAGCTAAACTCACACAAAGTCAAGTGAGAAATAACCGATGGCTTTTTAGCAGCAAGCCTAACGCAACATGAGATGAATACCCAGAATCAGACTGTGCTGATGTCGCCAGGTTTGGGTGGGTTTCTGATGTCTCTCTGAGTGGGGTTTTGGTCAAACACGACATTGTGGCTTCAGCAGGTGACCTGGTTGGTACTTTGTCTTGCGCATGTCTGGGCAATTCCTTCTGCCCTTAAAACTGCAAGTCTGTGAAAGGTGTTACAGCTGGGTACTGCTGTGCACACACCTGTGGTGATGTACGTTTTGGACTACGTGTGTTTTGTATGTTTTATGTTTGGATGTATTTGAAAGTGTCTGTTCAAGCATGTGCCCGTGAGGGAACCTGCTCCGGCGAGCACGCTGGTGTGCAGTGTGCGGGGGTGAGGCGAGGACCTTCCTGCGTAGGGATGCTCCTGTGGACAGCCATGTGAAGGAAGGCTCTGTCCCGGTTGCAGTCATCAAATGTTGCCTTTGGCTTTTCCTAGGAGTTCAAGGAGCCCTTTGAGAAGGTCTGCAAAAGACTACAGGAGCAAACCTTAAGTCTTCAGGCTCCCTCACTCTAAGGTCCGGATGTGGAGGCTGTTTTTGTCTGCCTTTGCTGGCGAGCAGTCTGACGGGGCTCTTCACACCTCTGTCCTCTTTCCTGGAGCGCCAACACCAAGGAGAAGCACCAACTGGCGAAGCAGCATGGCATGGTGTGGAGCCAGATGAGTGGCAAGGAGATCGCTGAGGAGACGGAGAAGAGATTGACCTGCTGCAAAACGACATCAGGCACTGCAGCTCACAGGTCGACCAGTGACCTGCCTGCACAGCCTTTCTCTCCAAAAGCTGCACAGAGGGCCTGGGGGTGTCTTCACTTGCAGGACCTGGGTTCCTGCAGTTGGCTTGTCCTGCCCTGTAGCTTGCAGAAAGCCCTCTTCTCCTGGAGGTGGTGGAGGCGAGGATCTCAAGAGAGTGTGTTTCCTCTTTTTTCAGTCTGACATTTCCATACACTGGTGTAAAGAAGAAATCTGGGATGCAAAGAAGACAGAGTGCTGAGCACTCTCCCTGAATTTAACTGCCTTTGCATCTTTCTAAAACATGTTTCGTAACAAAGATTTTATTTTTTTTTTTCACTGGGGACGTGAAAGCATTGCCTGCTGAAGGCGCGATGGACTCTGAGGCAGGAGCTCAGGGCAGCCTGGGGTCTGTAGGCTTCACAGCCAGCTCTAAGAGCAGGATCTCAGGACATGCATTATGCTAGCTTCTCCTCTCAGTTTTTTTTTCAGGAATGTTTAAACACAATGGCAAAACTTTCTAAGTTTACAGAAAAGCTCACCCCAGAGCTGTAGAGTCGTGAGGATTCATCTGAAGCTGGGTGCAGTGAGCAAGGGCAGGCTGGAGAGCAGGGATGTCTTCCCAAGGTCTTCCTCTTCCTCTGCAGAAGCAGAACTGACGACTCACATCTATTAATCGTTATTTCCTGATCTTCTGTTGCGCAGTGGCCCATGGAGGGGTGAAATGCAGCCATCACTGGGAGTGGGAAAATTAAGGTGCCATAGCCCAGGACACAGAGTAGGAAGAGAAGCATAAATGCAGGTAGACACTCATGTATTTATCTTCCAAGGTCCTGACTGCTCTGCAGACTTCCAGATTTTTCATTTGTGCTTTTAGCTTTCCATGCCTGGTGCTGTCAGCTCAAGCTGTTCATGCATTTCCTCAGAGGCTTTTTTTTGCTGTAGAGGCCAGCTCAGGTGAGCCTCGTGAACTTCACCTTTTGCCTTTGAGTTCTGTCTGGTGGCCCGGAGACAGAAAGGGGTTTTCGCAAGTGGCAAGACTTTCAGAGACAGTCTGAGCACTCATGTCCCAGGTGGTGTGATGTTGTCCAAGTGCAGCAAAGGGTTTATGTCAGTTTTCCAGCATTTCTAGACCTCTCAACCAATTTGCTTGGGCTTGCTTATCTTTTTCCATACCTCCTTGCAAGTCGAGATTTGTAGAGGCTTGGGATATGGGCCTCACCCAGCTGCTGTGGCAGCATCACTTGTCTCCCCTGGTCCTGTAGGGCAGGTCTCCTCTGGGCATCTGCTGCTTTGTTGGAACTAATCTGCATTAGGAGTGTTATCCTGCTTGTTCCTTAATTTGTAAACATATGTATTAAAATTCATCATGTAAATAACAAAAAGCAGGGAGCAGGGTAACTGAGCACCCTAAGCAGTGCCTTACGAATTCCTCAGGCAGACAAACCCCAGGCTCTGTTTCCGGGCCACATTCCTGTGGCAAAGTCCATCAACCTTTTGATGGCTTGGAGACATTTTAATTATTTTAATTACCGACACTACCAAGGGCAAAAATACCAAATGCCACGGTGACCTTCAAGGTGCTGGTTGCTTTTATGCTGCAGACAGCTGCAAGCAGCTGTTTTCTCAGGAAAAAAGCAGACTCCTCTTTTTTTTTTTTCCTCTCAGCAAAAAACATGCCCGCTCCCTCCTTTCAATGAGGTTTCTACTGAAGTGCTCGCTCCGTTTGCCGCATACCATGGCTCTGCAGGGGACGAATGGCAACCTCCCACCACAGGAATGAGACTCGGCGCATCCCACGCGGGGAGGGTGGATGGTGGCGCGGGGGCACCTCTGCTGCACCTGGGAGAAGGCGTGGGATGCCGCAGCTGGGGCAGGAGCCTCCTGCTGCCTTATGAGGAGCTCACTCTCATTCCTTTCAGCTGATGATCAGGCAGGATGAGGAGAAGCAGATGTGTGCCCGTTGGGAATCAGCTGAAAATGGCATTGCAGCTGGAGCAAAAAGAGGTAAAGTGACTTTTCTTGTGAAGGAAGTGGGGTGGTGCCTGCAGAGGGCACGGCATGGAAGCTGTTTAAATAGTGCCTGCCATGAGGGTTCTGGTGGCCTCTGGGGAGCACAGGCTCCCTGGCAGTCCTGTGAAGACATGCTCTTGGTTGCCAGCTGTACTGATGGGGTAGGGCCTTGTTGCTGCTTCTGTCCCTCTTCCAGGACCCTGGGAACAAGCAAGCAGGGTACAACATGCACCAGCCGCAAGAGAACAAGCAGTACGGCACGGAGAAGTCAGGGATTCTCTTCAAGAAAAGCCATGGGTAAGTTGAGATCCAGCATGCCCTTTCAATTTTGCTTTGGTGACCTGGGGCCAGAGCAGGGAACACCCGGACAAACCTCCTCTCCCTGGAGTGGCCACGAGACAGAGGAACAGGACAAGCACGCAGAGAGGTGTGCTCAGCACTCCCCAGCCTCCGACAGCTCTCAACACAGAGCTTCAGGCAGTCTTCTAGCTCCGAGGACATTCCTCTCCTGTGAAGCTGCCCCTTGCCCTCCAAGACCCTGCAAGCACTGGGAGGAAGGACCCCTGCACACACTGTGGGAAACCAGAACCAACTCCCCATCTATTCATCCCAGCGGGGATCCCACCACCTCCACCCAACACCCCAAGGTCTTGGGGACCTTGGGGTGTTGGATGGGGAAGGGACTCTGAAGGGGGTGGGTAAGGGTTCGTGCTTCTCCTCCTCTCCCAGACACCCATTGCTTTCCAGGTGCTTCATCACCTGTGCTCCACGATGAGGAGCCCTGACCCCTCCACCCTTCCTGGGTGGGAAACACTCAGGGGTGCACTGAGGGTTTATAAACAGTCCTGACGGTGTTTTCTGCTCTCTCCTCTCCCCCCTTCCACCCCAGCCCTCACCTGTCCTTTGCCTTTCAGACCCCTCTGCTCTCACAGTTGAGTACTGGGCTCAGCTCCCCGAGGGTGGAAATGAGGAGAATGAGCAGAAATGTGAATTAGACACAGCAAGGGTCAATCTTTGCCTTGGAGATGGCATTGAGGGTCAGAGCCAGCAGCCCTCCTGTGCCCCTCTCCCAGGAGTCAGACCCTGAGCTCCTGGAAAGCGCTCCGCTCTCTTTGGAAAGGGGATCATCTCCCGCCAGTGCAGGGGAGCATGCTTACTGGGAAAATAGGGTCCTGCACTGGGAGACTTGTACACCTGGAAAGGGCTGTGATGTGTCCTAGAAAAACTGGACACTGGGCAGAAAATAGTCAACTGGGGCTCACGAGTCTCCACTACAGACTTAGTCTTAAGTTCAGGCTCAGTCTGAAGTTCCATCTCTCTCCCCTTTTGGGTGTATGTTTTCTACCTTTTCCCTGTGTTATCGTCTGCCCTGAATGTCCCGGACAGGAAAGCCAGCCTGGGAGCACTTTGGAGGGGATGCTCCTGCATGTTTGCTGAGGGCTTCTACTAGCACATCCTGCTGCCCCAACTGATGTTCTGCACCCGTGTCACTGCCACAGCAGCTGTGCTAACTGTCTGTACACACCTGTGTTATGCCGTATGACAGGTCCTTCTCAGCCCAGAACAGACCAAGGGTGACAGAGTCTGTCTGTGGCAGCCCAGCCAGCACGTGTGCTGAGAGCTGTGAGCCCGTGCTGCGCCTTCCACAGCTCTTGCGTTTGCCAGCACTGCACTGTGTGTCTGCTCCTCTGCTTGTGTGTCCTCTTGGCTCACCCTCTGCTCATTTTCAGGTTGAGGAAAGTCTGGCAGAAGAGGAAATGCACCATCAGCAATGGCTACCTAATAATCTCTCACAGCATGGTAGGAACCGCTTCTTCCACTCTGCTCTGCTCCTGCCTGCGAGGTGCTGCCTGCCCTTGCAGGGTCTGCAGAGCCTGGCACTGCCAGGCATGCCGGGGGCTTCCTGGGGCTCCTTGGAGCCCTCCTGCCTGCTGCTTGCCCTGTGGGGATGCCCTAGTGTAAGGAGGCTTTCTGCTGAGACTCGAGTCCCTGCAACCCAAGAGAGCTTTAGACAAACACCAGAGGTCCTCGCATGCCTGTGAGCATGGAGGAGCATGAGCCTGTTGGGAAAGAAAAGGTCCAGGCTGCTGTTTCTTGCATTGATCCTGAGAGCAGAGCCAAGACAAAGTGCTGGGCACGAGGCAGATGCTTGTCACCCCTGGGCCAGGGTGTGCTCGACACCCCTGGACCACAACCCTTTGATGCTTCCTTGTTCTGCTTGTAGCACGACCACCTGCCAGCAAAGCTGAATTTACTGACCTGCCAGGTGAAGCCGAACACGGATGACAAGAGATGCTTTGATGTGGTTTCCTGTGAGTGCTGGAGCCTGTCCTGTGCTTACTTTGGGAGTGGCCCAGAGAAGTGGCAGTGCCTTGGACTCAGAGAGCCAGCGCGGGCAGGGATGAGGGGAAGCTCTGCAGCTTTGGGCCAGCTTGGGGGGGATTACCCTGGGGAAGCTGTGCCAGAAAGCAGCTCTGCTCAGCAGCAGTGATGTACACATAAGGTGTGAGATAGGCAACTCTGCCGTGGGGCAGTGCAGGGTACGTGGGGAAGTGTAGCTCCCAGGCTGCAGCTCAGCTAATACCAGCATCCCTGTTCCCGGGTGAGATGGAGGTGACTGACACCCAAGCTGCACAGGCTGGAGTTTGCTCCCAGCGCTGCCGAGTCCAGCTGAGGCACGTTGTGCCGTGATGTGAGCCTGGCAGGCGAGATGGGCAAGCAGGGTGCCTTGAGGAGATGGGCTCTGTGTGTTTCAGACAGCCGCACGTACAGCTTCCTGGCAGAGGACGAGCAGGACTGTGTCACGTAAGTACTGCCAGCACCTCGCTGCAGACCAGAAAATGCTCCTCTGGCTGCTGCTGAGGAGCCAGGTCTTTGGCTGAGTGAGCATCGCTCTGCAGCCTCTTGTCTGGTGCCCTTCCCATCCCGACTGTGTCCCGATTACTCCCTGCGGGTGGGGAGGCTGGCTGGCCACGAACAGAACATGGAACTTGATGGAGGCTGCTGGCACCCAGTTTGTACTGGAGTCCCCTGCAGGACCTTTGTGCAGGGAGGCTGCTGTGCAGGCTGGAGCAGAGCGGGATCTCCCCTGCAGCAGGGGGAGAAGCCCAGCTGCCCTTCATGCCTGGCAGCCCACATGTGGCCACACGGGACCCTGCTCCTAAGCCACTTTCTGCCCGGCAGCTGGGTGTCCGTCCTCAGCAACAGCAAGGTGGAGGCGCTGAACGTGGCCTTCAGCAAGACACGGGGTGGAGGGGAGAGTAACCAGCAGGAGCTGACGCGGGCCATCATTGGGGAAGTCAGAGGCATGTCCGGGAACAGGGAGTGCTGCGACTGCTCAGCCCCAGGTGAGAGCCAGTCCGTGGCCATGGGGCCACTGTGCTTCCTCTCCCCTGGACAGGTGGAGCCTTTCTCTGCCCTCCATGGCATCCAGCTCATGGACACTACCCAGGCCTCTGAGGTCTTGCCCTTCCACTCTGTCCTACTGGAGAGCTTGTGCCCTGGGTTGGTGGGGGCTGGCAGGGAGGAGAGGCAGGAGAGGCACACGAGCTTGGTAGTCTTGTCTTTACAGATCCCTCTTGGCTTTCCATCAACTTGGGCATCCTGATCTGCATCGAGTGCTCTGGGATTCACAGAGGGATGGGTGCACACCTCTCCCACATCCAGTCACTCTCTCCAGACAAGCTGGCAAGCTCTGAGTTACTGGTAGGACACTGTCAGTGTGCTCTGTCCTCAAGTCTCCCTCTGCTTCTGCTGTGGCCTTCCTGAAACTGAGTCTTCAGCTGTTAAACTGACCCATACCCACTTATCTCCAGGGTTTAGTGGTTATTGTGGCAGGAATTGTCATCTTCAGGGAGGAGAGGAAGTAATTTTGCTGTTGTTGGATCCCCCATCTCTCTCAGTCCCCTTTCGTCCTCTGCACCCCCTGGTGCAGGGGAGCTGTGGGGCAGGGCCAAGGCAACCCAGGGAAGAGTAGAGTGTGGGGCTGACAAGGGGTTGGAGCATTTGCATGGGGCTGTTTTAGGGCCACGATGCTCATAGGTTTGGTAGGGCTGTGATGGGAGCTGGTGGGAGTGTTTGGCAGGGATCATTGCTTGCCCAGATTTGAGCCTGGGGGCAGCTCTGGGGTTGGTTGCACTGTTGAAGTTGGGAGATTCAGCGATAGGAGTCTCCAGCCATTGGGCACAAATGTCCTGGGACCCCTTGACATCCCCTCCATACCTGGTCACAATCTCAGCCTGGAGCTCCCTCTTGCTGCTGCAGCGTATGTAGAGCTGCTGCACGTCCCATGTCACCTCTAGCTTGGCTGTTTTGCAGCTGGCAAGGAATATTGGCAACTCTGGTTTCAATGACATCATGGAAGCAAATCTCCCCAGCCTTTTCCTGAAGCCTGCAGTGCACAGCGACACGTGAGTTGCTCTGCAAGAGCTGGTTTTTGTGGGAGATTATATGTGGGGCCCTCACCCGTGGGCAGATGCTCTGTGGTCCTATGTGGTCCTTGCAGTGACCAGGTACATGGTGTTACCTGGTCTTCTCTCCAGATCGTAACTTCTCTTCAGAAGCAATTTAATCAAGCTGAACAGGAGAAGTTTGATGAAGGAGAGAAGAGTGAGGAAGAGCCAGCAGGACAGCTGACCTTGAGGTCAGGACAAGGATTGAGGAACTGGAAAGGGAAAGGCAAGAAGAGATACACAAAAAACCAGGTGGACCTGCCAAGCACGACAGCCCTGGCTGCACATCAGCAGGACAGGGAAGAGCAGGAGTCTGGAGTGGGATGAGGGACAGGAACTTACGTGGTGCAGAGTCATTCGCTGTGTCCAGTGGCTGAGACCCAGGGTTGGTGGGATCAGTGTGGGTGTTAGACAAGGATCTGCTGAGCATGTGGGAACCCCCGTCCTTCATGCTGGAGTGCCCCAGCCTCTAGGCTCTGCAGAGGACGGGGGGAGCTGGGGCGATGTGGCTGGTACCAGCAGGGCTTAGTGCTATAAAGCTGGAGCACAGCAGAGCTCTCGAGGGATGCAGAGAGCTTATTGTCAGGGACAGAGGGGCACCATCTAGAGAGTGAGGACCTACCCTGCAGTGAATAGGTGGATAAGGGACTACACTTGGCGGGGAAAAAGCAGCAGAGAGCTGGGAGAGCGGGAAAATACAACTAGAGGCACCCCTCCCCTTGGATCTACCTGATCATCCTGAGTTCCATGGTGCAGCACATGCAGGACAAACAGGTGATCAGGCCCAGTCAGCACAGGTTTATGAAGGGCAGGTCCTGTTTAACAAACCCGATCTCCTGCTATGACTGAGTGACCCGCTGGCTGGACGAAGGACAGGCTGTGGATGTTGTCTACCTTGGCTTTAGTGAGGCATTCAACACTGTTGCCCACAGCATTCTGCTGAAGAAACTTGGCTTGGATGGGCACACGCTTTGCTGGGTGAAAAACTGCTTGGATGGCCGAGTCCAAAGAGTTGTGGTCAGTGGAGTTAAATCCAGTTGGCGGCCGGTCACAAGTGGTGTCCCCCAGGGCTCAGCGCTGGGACCACTCCTGTTTAACAGCTTCATCAATGATCTGGACAAGGGGATAGTGTGCACCCTCATTGAGTTTGCTGATGGGTGGAAGTGTCGATCTTCTTGAGGGTAGGGAGGCTCTGCAGAGGGATCTGGACAGGCTGGATCGCTGCGCCAAGGCCAATCCCATGAGTTTCACTCAGGCCAAATGTCGGGTCCTACACTTTGGCCACAACAACTCCTGGCAGCACTGCAGGCTTGGGGGGGAGAGGGCG